CAAAAAGAGGCAAAAGACAGGCTCTGCCCTCAACGATTTTCCTTATCTGCAAATTCCCTGTATCAAAAAAAATTGTAAGTCCAGTCCTTATGCCTCTATGGGTTGGATTAGATGGCCACTTCAGTCTCTTCCAACCCCAGGACCTTAGAGAGATCATCTAAGAGCGTAGTATAATAGAAACAACAATGGTTTTACAATTAGGTGAGACCTGGGTTTGAATCCCACCTCCAACACACTTACTAGTTAGTTGTGTAAGCATCTCTCCCCTCCTTAAACTTTTGAGGGTCAGTTTTTTTTTACTGTTATATGAGGATGACAGAAGATGACGATCACAAAAGTAGTAAAAGTAAAGACAGGGCTCCAAACCAAATCCTCCAACTTTAAATCCCATGCTCTTTCTACTATAAAATGTTGCTGCTTCTTGCATTCAGAGTCATCCATAAACTGACCAAAATCTACCTGAGATAATTGGCTTTTGAAAGATTTAAGAATTCTGATTAAGGCAACGACCAACCACATTTCCAGAGGACTGATGATGAAGCATCCTGCTCACCTCCTGACAGAGTAGATGGGACTTAAAATGGAGAATGAGACATACATTTTTTTGGCCAATGTATGAATTAGTTTTGTTTGATTGCCCATATTTGTTGCAAATTCTTTGTTGTTTTTGTTTTTTTTAATTCTTCTCCCCAATAGGAGTGAGAAATATTTTTTTAATCTGCCTTTCTAGCCCCTTCAGTACCACCCCTACATAAACTCTCTGCTCCAAACTGTTCAAATCACTGTCTCCTGGGGCTTTCCTATGCACCTTTGCTAACATCTCAGAATGGCCTCCTCTGTCTCCATGGTTATTGCAGCTCCCACAAACCCAGAAAAGACATTTCTCCCCACCAAAGGCCTTGGCACTGTCATATGGTTCAACATCAGAAACAAACATGGTTTTATCAATGGAAAGAACATTGAAGAAGATACATTGCCCCCTGCCTTTCAACTCTACCCTAAAGACCAATGGAAAGAACAATGCCTTTGCAGTTGGACGACCTGGGCTCCAGCCCCACTTCTATCACTTACTGGTTGTGGGACCTAGGGAATGTCATTTAACCTCTATGGGCCTCATCTTCAACTCTAAAATGAAGGGATTAGATTTAGATGGCAGTCTGATGCCCCTTCTAGACCTAAATCTCCAATCCTAGGACCAGAAGGTCTTTCCATCTACTTTGCAGCTGAAATTTCCTTATATGTGTTGTCTCCCCCTATCTAAAGGTGAGATCTTTTGAGATCAGGCATCACCTAGCTTTTCTGTTTGTATGCCCAGTGCTCAATAAATGCTTTTCATTCATTCATTCTTGGTATAAAAGAATTCTAGTCTTGGAGTCAGGAAGACCAGGGTTAAATCTACCTTGGGATATTTGAATATAAACTACGGGCAAGCCATTCAAGGTGAGTGAGCTTCAGTTTCTTTATCTGTAAAATGGGGATGACACCTATGGTTCCTACCTCATAGGGTCATTAAGGGGCTGAAGGAGCTCGTGCGTATAAAGTGCTTTGCAAGCCTTAAAGTTAAATGTTAGTTATCATGGCAAATCAAGGCCTGGTTTATTTCCTTCCCATTCCAGGAAGACTTTCTCATACTGCTCTAACCCATTTTATATCCTTTAAACTAGATTACAGATCCAACTCATGGCTCTATCTACAGTAAGGAGGGAAAGGGTGTCACTGAGTTCAGCCAATTGAACACAATCGGTGTCAATGGGAGTGGGGTAAAAAATTTTGTCCCTATCTTTGCCCCAAAGACTGCTCCACTAACAGGGTTGGGTGGAGCTGTGAAATGGTTCAACCATTGTGAAAAATAAGAAACTGACTAAGATGTCCATACCCTCCCAATTCAGAGATCTCACTCACAGGCATGTTTTTCACAGAGGTCAATGATAAAAAGAAAGGTCCCATAACACCAAAATGTTTATAGCTGCAATTTTTGTAGCACGAAAAACTGGAAACAAAGTAGATGCCCATTGACTGAGGTAGCCACTGAGGTCTCTTCCAATTCTCAAATCCTATGATTCTGTGACCTTAGAAATCATGTAAGAGGCAATATGAGGTATGAGGGATAGCACTGGACACAGAATGTATAAATACCTGGGTTTGAACTTCCTTTTCTGACACTAGTTATAGGAATACTTCTTGCAAAGTCATTTAAACTCTCCCAAGTTTCAAATTACTGCATATGAATGTAATGGAACTTTACTGTGTTTAAAAAAAAAAAAAGGTAGGAAGAATTGTTAACCTATCCAAGTGAAATAAGGAGCAGAACCAAGAAAACAATATATAGAACAATGTAAATAGAAAGAAACGTAACAAAATAATAAAAAAAAAACGAATACTTTGAAATTATAATGACCAAGCTTAACACCAAAGGGGAGATAATATGGAAAACAATATACAATTATAATAGAAATGTCAATTGAATGAGCATCAATCAATCAACTAAAACTGAATAAAGTACAATTGTAATGAGGAAGCTTGACCTTAAAGGAGAGCTAGAAAGCTGCTCCTCCCTTCTTTTCCAAGGTGGGTGCTATGGTTATAGAATACTATATATACTGTCAGATATAGCTGATGTGTTATTTGGTTTTGCTGAGGTGCTTTTTCCCTCATCCCCTTTCTTTTTTATTCTTGATAACAAAGAATGGCTTGTAACATAGAGGAGGAAGGGATAGATTGAGATATTAAGGTGATATAAAAATTATATCAATAACACATTTTCAAAATTTTTAACAAAACAAAATTTTGCTCTCAAATTCATTCCCCTCAGTTGTAATAAGCCTTGTGCCTGTAGCTGGAGGTACCAAGTACTCCCACATCAGTGCAGTACATTTCAAAAAATACTAGCACCAGCACAAGAGTCAGCATCTGTAGGTTCAAATTCAATCTCTGACACTACCTGCGTGACCGTGGACAAGTCAATGGAACTCTCTGGGCCTCAGTTTCCTCATCTGTACAACGAGGGAGTTGGACCGGGAGGCTTTTGTTTCAGCTCTAGATGTAGGATTCTAAGATCTCATCCTATGAACAAGTGGCTCTCAAAGGAAGAAATCCAAGTTATCAACAATCATATTTTTAAAACCTCTATGTCACAAATAGAAATGCAAATGAAAACAATTCTGAGATTCTATCTCATACCCACTAGATTTGCAAACATGACAAAACAGGAAAATGACAATTATTGGAGAGGCTTTGGGAAACCTGAGTACATGAGCATACTGTTAGTGGAGTTGTGACCTTAACCCACCATCCTGGGAAACAGACACTAAAACTAGGCACACCCTTTGACTAAGTGATACCACATAGTCAGCCCTATATATCCTAAAGAGATCAAGGAAAGAAGGAAAAGACCCTACATACAAAATACTTAGAGCATCTCTACTTCTTGTCCCAAAGAACTGGAAACCAAGGAGTGTCCATCAATTGGGGAATGACTGAACAAATTATTGTATGTAAATGTCATGGAAATATTATCTCCATAGAAATAATAAAATAGGTGGTTTAAGAGAAACTGGGGAAGATTTGTATGAACTGACTCAGAGAGAAGTAAACTGAACCAAAAGAATTTATACAATGATAGCAATAAAGACAAAAAGCTTTTAAAGACTTAAAAACTCTGATCAATGCAATGACCAATTGCAATTTCAGAGATCAATGAGAAAGCATACTACCCACCACCTGAAACAGAAGTGATACTCAAAGTGCAGAATGAAGACACATCTTTATAATGTGGGGATTTGTTTTGCTTGACTATGCATATTTGTTAGAAAGATGTTTTTGTTCTTGTTTTTCTTCCCCCCACCCCCAAATCTGTGGCAGGGACAGAAGCTAGGGTTTCAAAATAATAACAATAAAAAAATTATAATAGTCATTGAGACATTTTTTCTTAAATGACCAGAAGAAAAACAGAAGGAAACATAGACAAGCAGGAGTTTTGAAAGTTAAATGTTGAATTTGTTAGACTTGAAAAATAAGTTTAATATAAAGATTTATAGTTTTATGTATAATCTTTCTTCCTGTTCTACTTTGTATATTGAAATTCCAATTTTACTTAGAGTTAAAGATAAAATAATGAATTTTTTAAAATGACATAATAGAATAATAAAAGATATAATTCTACATACTACTGTCACTTGCTAAGAAAATCTCTAAAGACTGCTAAAAAAATGGAGAAAGAAGCTACACTGTTCTCACATTAGCTCCCAAGAATGACCCTTTCCAAGGCTCCCCATCTCCAACCATGACATCCTCAGTAACAAAAAGCTCTCTTCTTACTCCTTCAAGAGTTCCTGAAATGAAGTCCCTTCCCTGGTGGCTAATAATTTTCAGACTCTTTGAACTATGTGGAAATGCTCTTGAGCAAATGAAAACACTGATGTTCACAATCCCACCCTGAATTCATTACTTTCACTGATACGGGCACTCCCTCAATGCACACATCATAGCAAGGCTCTCCACCCCCCAACCCCCTTTTCATGAATTGATATGGCTAGGGGAAAAAAAACCCATTACCTAAGACTGACCCTCCAGTGACAAGCCTCCTGAAACAGAGAAGAGGGACAAAGTGGGCCATATATAATCAAAATCTTTCCAGTTTGGTAAGAACTTCACATACTTAAGTTCCTCAACATAGCCTTGGGATGACATATAAGGCATTAGAGGAAGACTTTAGACTTTGCTATATACTAAGACCCCTTTGAGCAAAACTAAAAGGCAGAAAAACAGAAACCTTCCACCCCCAGAAACTTTTAAAAGTTAACAGAAGGAACCTTAGAGATTTAGTGTTACTGCTTTACATGTAAAGACCTAGAGGGAAAGTGTACAAGTCACAAAGTGAGTTAATGAAAGGGCTTTGACTTCTGACTCTCACACTGTTTTCAGCGCTCTCTACACTGGACCCTGCTCCCACTACTACAACCCCCTCCACACTCGGTGTCTCCCCCCCAACCCCTCCCTACCTGTAGCACGGACAGGCTTGTCTGCCCAGAAAGGCTCAGCTTTTCCTGTTCTGAGGGGTAGGCATTGAAGCGGTGCTCATACAGCCAGTCTCGGAGAATCTTCACAGACTCCTTTGGGAGGTTCCCTCTCCTCTTCCTCTTGCCTGCCTGGGTTAGATCCAGGGAGGCCAGTCCTTCCTCCTCACCCAGGTCACTGTCTGACATGCTTGGGCTGTCCAGGGTTCGTACAGGAGTCAAACCTGTGGTAAGTGTTAGAGTGGAAGCAAAAGTCAGGGGCCAAAGAGAAATGAAACATCAGATCTTCTGTGGCCCCCCCCCTCCCCAATTTTAAAACATTTTTATGTAAAGTTCTGAGTTCCAAATTCTATCTCCCTCCCTGACAGGGTAAGCAATCAGATATAGGTTATATATGTACAATTATGTAAAATGTTTCCATATTAGTAATTTTTTACAAGACTGGAATACAAGGAAAAAATGAAAGTGAAAAACAGCACGCTTCAGTCAATATCAGTTCTTTCTCTGAAGGCAGATAGTAAGCTTCATCATTAACCCTTTGGGATTGTCTTGAGTCGTTGTATTGCTGAGAATAGCTAAGTTATTCACAGTTGTTCATTGAACAATATTGCTGTTCTGGTTTTGCTCATTTCACTTTGCATCAGTGCATGTAAGTCTTCCCAGGTTTTTCTGAAATCATCCTGCTTGTCATTTTTTATAGCACAATAATATTGCATTACAATCCTATACTACAGCTTGTTTAAGCCATTTCCCAATTGATGGGCATCCCTTTGACTTCCAATTCTTAGCTACCACAAAAAGAGCTGCTATAAATATTTTTGTACAAATAGGTCCTTTTCCCTTTTTTTGGAGATCTCTGGGATACAGACCTAGCAGTGGTATTGCTGGATCAAAGGGTATGCATTTTTATAGCCCTTGGGACATAGTTCCAAATTGCTCTCCAGAATGGCTGAATCAGTTCACAATCCCAATAGCGCATTAGTGCCTCAGTTTTCCCACATCCCCTCCAACAGCTTTTTCCTTTTCTGTCATATTAGCCACTCTGATTGATAAATATGAAGTTGTACCTCTGAGCTGTTTTAATTTGCATTTCGCTGATCAATAGTGACTTAGAGCATTTTTTTTATAGGCGATTGGGGTTAAGTTACTTGCCCAGGGTCACACAGCTAGTAAGTGTCAAGTGTTTGGTCTGAGGCTGGATTTGAATTCAGGTCCACCTAACTTCAGCACCAGTGCTCTATCCACTGCACCATCTAGCTGCCTGACTTAAGAGTTATTTTTTCATATGATTATTAGGTAGCTTCGAAAACTGCCCCTTCATATCCTTTGACTATCAATTGGGGAAGACTTGCATTTTTATAAATTTGACTCAGTTCTCTATATATTTGAGAAATAAGGCTTTTATCAGAGATATTGTAAAAATGTCCCCCCAGTTTTCTGCTTTCCTTATAATTGTGGTTGTATTGGTTTGTGCAACTTTTACATTTTATATAATAAAATTTTGTATTTTACATTTTGTAATGCTCTCTACATCATCTTTGGTCCTAAATTCTTCCTTTATCTATAAATCTAATATCAGATCTGCCATTTTTCTTCTAGCATACTACAAATGTCCCAAGATTTAATTTATCCTCACAATATCCCAGAAAGACAAAGGATGAGTACTCAATCTCAGACTCAAGAGACATCATGAAAGGAACTTTTAAAAGGATCACCTAAATCTAGGCATTGTTTCCAACCTGAAGTACTTGATAAATATATTATCTTATTAAATTTAATCACTTTATTTCTTAGATGTATATGCATGATATACCCTAATATTTCTTTTCCTATTGAATGTGGGGTGCTCAAGGGCACCAGAAGGTTTATGAAAAAGATGAAAACCTCTGATAGAATCCAAACCTTGTACTTTGGGGGGGGGGGAGGTGTGTCTTGGGGAACTGAGGGGCCCATAGAAGAAGTGATTTGCCCAAGGTCACACAAAAAATTAGTAGGCAGGTCCTGATTCCAATCCACTCCAATAAACATTTATTAATGTTAATTCTAGTACCGTACCTTCCCTGTCTTAATTATTTCCTTTTTATCTTGTATATATTTGTTTGCTGTTGTATTCTTTATTTAGATTTTGAGCTCCTTGAGGGCTGGGACTGTTTTTTTTTTTTTTGCCTTTTTGTAACCCCAGTGTTTAGTGGGGTGCCACCACGTAATAGGCACTTAAGAACTGTTTATTGACTGATTTATTAAGGACCTATGATGAGAAAGGGCCCTAGGGATTAAAAACAAACAAACAAAAAAAGGCTACTTTCTAAATCGGGAGGGTCAACACCTAAACAGAAAAGTATATACATAAACATTTGAGGAAGGGAGCATTAACAGAGGCATCTTCGAAGGCATCCTTCAGGATGTGGAACCTAAAATTAAGCCAAGGATTGATTCCAGAGACATTAGTGAGCAGGGAGCAAGCAGCTTATTTAAGTCATGGGGAACCGCCTATTATACAAGTTGGAAACCACCTGCCAAAATTCTCGAGACACCAAGGGTTGGCAGGTTTGGCCAGCATTTCAACTCCAAGCCTTTTCCAAGTGTCTTCCCTGAATATACATATACATACACCCCCCCCCCCCATTTGACTTTATATATGTATATATCACTTTTGGAAATCTGGGTTTAAATCTCACTTCTGACACCTGCATGATTTTGAGCAAGTCATCCTTTGGGCCCTCAGCTTTCCCTTCAGTTAAACGGAGATGATGATATTTATGCTATCTCAATGGTTTGCAGTGACCTTAGAAGGTGTGACTAGGAATCTACCTAGAGATCAATAAAATTGAAGAATGAGACCTTTGTTGAAGATGTCTCTCTACTGTAGATACAAACATCTCCCACTGACCCATTCAGAATGACTGAATCATGACTAATGCCTGCCTGAACCACACCTTGCTATTTGGCCTTTAAGAGAGAATGGGGGACAGCTATGTAGACAGAGAAAGGTGAGCAAGCTGACAAAGATCAGGGCAGGGAAACAGAAAACTCGCTGGTTCCCTTCAAAGGAAATTCTGCACCTCTATGGCATCCCTTTACATGTGGCCCCATCAGAGCAGGGAAACACAGTCACAGACATTAACACTGACCAGAGGCAGCAGCAGAATATAGAAAATTCCTGAGTCAAATTGGGAATTCTAAGAACCACCAAAGTTGGCAGAAGCAATTCTAGAAAATGACAGAAGCAATCCTAGAAAAATGAGGGAATCAAAGACTTTGAGGCAGAGGTATACCTAGACCTGGACTTCTTAACGTGGGGTTCATGAACTTTTTTGAAAAAATATTCTGACAGCTGTATTTCAGAATAACTAGTTTCCTTCTGTGAATGTTTGTATTTTTTAAAGCATTTAAAAACATTATTCTGAGAAGGGGGGTCATAGGTTTCCCCAGTCTGCTCAAGAAATCCATGACACACAAAAAAATTAAGTACCCCTATCTTGGATAGAACAAAACCAATTTCCAGGACGAAGCAAAGGTGCTGCTCAAAGACCAAGGTATTAGCCATGCCTAAAGAACACAAGAGATTAGAGACATTAACAGATTAAATCTGGAACTTATTCTTTCTTTGTGAATTACAAAACTCTCAATTATGTAGTGCCCTGCATTTCTTTCCCCTTTTGGGGTATACAGGATATAACCATAAGGTGGTGCTATTAAGTATGGATTACTCCATAGGTATCTAGAGGAGATGGGGCTCATGGGAGAGAGGTCTTGACACAGGACCTACTCCTTACAGGCAATACAAGGCAGTAAATCAAATACTGATTAAGTGCCTATCACATGCAGAGCGCACAGGATGAAGTTTAAGCAAGCACCACTCTCCACCCTCACGAAGCTTAGCGCCTAATACAATCTAGTTCTTTGTTATTCCCACTTGGTCTAGCACAAAATATGAATTGCTGAACTTCAGTGAAAGAAAAGTAATAAAAACAAATGATATCTGTACATATATTCATCATTTGATTTTCACCACATGACTCTATGGGTGGTTCTATCATCATCTGATTTTACAGACTGGCAAATTATGACTAAACAGATTCAGAAGTTGTAATTTATTTGCCCATGCCACACAGAATGAGATGGGACTCAAACCAAGATCTGTCCTTACTCCACATCCACTCCCTTTCTGATCTGTTAAGATTCCAGTCCTGCCAGTGACTTAGGGCAAAAGCCATGAGGTCTCTGGATTTCAATTTCTCTCTCTGTAAAAACAGAGGTTTGAATTAAGATGATTCAAACTGGTCAAACCAGCCTCCAAACTCCTTCCTCATAGGAGACAGAGGTACTCAGGAATTGTCTCAGAACAAGGATTTACAGAAAAAAAGGAAAGAGAAAGAGAAAACAAAGAAAAACTGGAAAACTGACATCAAACCGTCAGAAACAGAAACAGGACCCTCCCACTCCCCCACAAAGGAAGCCTCCAGCTCTGAATTCCTTTGGGGTGTTTTATCTGTTTGCTTAAAAAAAAAAATCCTGGCTTTCATCCCCATCCCAGGCAGGCCCAGAAGATGTGTTTCCCTGCCCGGAGAGCTTGATCCTAATCCCACAAGAAAAGTAAAGTCTTCCAGCTCATCTCCCAGCCTCACCCCATCTCCCTTTTCGGACACAGATATTTTCTTGGGTAGTGACAAGGAGGAAGCTAGGAAGGGGGGAGCTGGAGGGAGGAATTAAAGTTTGCTCAAGGTTATCTTGTACAAATTCTCTCTTGGCCTCCAGACTGCATCTGGTAAGAAGCAGCAGCGAGGCTAAGGCTGAGGACTGTGTTGGAATTCCTCCTCCACCACCACCACCATCCCTCCCACCCTCCAGCTCCCACACCAAATACAGATAGATCCAACACCCACCCCCCTACCCCAACAACTTACCCTCACAACTCTTGACAACTCCTAACCACATAACTGTCACCAACAGCTCACACCAACATTACTACAGGACACTAAGCTTCCCATTGGCCAGGGAGTTCTATAAAGTTTTTCTCTCTCCCAGTGCTTTGCACGGTGGGCCCTAAATCAGCTTTTGTTCAATGCAAAGATATACACCAACTCCCACAGAAAGGACACCTGCCTGATAAACATGTTCCCAACTTTCCCATGGACACAGTCTCACAATTCTTGACAACTCACACCAACATTACTTCCAGACTAGCGGCTTGGAGGATCTCCCCCGCAGGGCTCTGCACACAATAGGCACTCGCCTATGCAGAGAAGTCATTCACCTGCACGACTTACCCATGCCACTTTCACAAGAACGGTCTCACGAGAGGCCCCCACAACTTTCACACGCATGCACTCACACACACACCCCTTTGTATAAAAACATCCTTGCACACAAAGCCCACTCCGAGCTTTGCTGAAATGCAGCTCCTGGGGCGCCCAGGCCAGGAAAGTGGGCTCAGTGCAGAGCACATGGCTTGGGGGCGGGGAGAGGGGCCTTAGACCGGGAGAAGGGGGCTCCCCCAGGGTGGGGGACGACCCTTACAGAAACTGAAGCGGGGAGAGTTCGAAACCTCCCCCCCATACACAAACTCTACTTCCCCAAAGCTGCGTCCTAGAATTACCCCCAGACTAGATCCTGGGGAGCTAAGGCCACCCCACTCCAGGCCAGGGGCAGGGGGTGTGTGTGGGAAGGGTAGGAGAATGGGGGGAAGGGGCTTTCCGTGAAAGGGGCGGGAGAAGAGAAGGTGGCCGGAGAAGAAAGAAAACTCACGTGTCCAAAGGCAGAAAAAAGTTTCCTTGCAGCCCCCCCTTCCCGGGGCTTGAAGCCGGTGTGCTTGGGGTCCCCCCCTCCTCGAGTCCAGGGGTAGGGGCTTCGGGGGGGTGCAGGGTCTGGGCTTTAAACCAGCCCCCCCTCCCCGGGAACGGGCTCCATGTTGGCCGCCCCAGACCCCCGCGGAAGGTTGCCTGGTCCCCGGCCCGGGCAGGTCCTGGGGGGCCCAGGGAGGCTGCGGGGGGGGCGCCGGCTCCAGGAGGGGAGGGGGCCGCCGGCCGCGAGCTCGAGAGGGACGGATGGACTGACGGACGCCGGGAGACAAGAGTTTTCTTTGTTCCAAAGAAGCAGGAACTTGCGCGGGCCGAGCCCGCCCCCGTGTCCCTCTCCCCCGGCCCCGGCCCGCCCGCCTCCGCACCCCCCCCCTCGGGCTGTCACTGAATGCCACTTCCCACGCCCCCCGCCCCCACCCCGCGCCGAGGGTCCGGGGTTGGGGCGGGGGGCGGCGCTCAGAGGGAGCGGGCGCTGGCGGTGGGGGGCGCGGACAAAGGTGCCTCCGCCGCCACGGCCATCGGGGGGAGGCTGGAGGAAGCCCCCTCCCCCGCCCCGGGCTTGCACGCGCACACGCTCCCCGCCCCCGCGCGCGCGCGCGCGCGCACACACACACACACACACACGCGCACACACACACACACACACACAAAAACTTTCCCACTTCTCGGTCTCCGTCCCCGCCGCTGCCCGGACTCACTTTTCCGAGCAGCCTTCATGTCCACGCGGGCCCCTCGCCTCCGGGCCCGGGGCACAGCGTGGGGGGATGTGGGGGGGTCGCAAGAGGCAAGCAGGCTCGGGGGGCGGCGCGGAGGAGGGGGCTCCGGGGGCTGCGCTCCCTGCTGACACACGCTCTGACAGCTCCCAGGCTGGAAACCACCCCGGCTGCCTGACGTCAGATCCCCTCCCCGCGCCCCCTCCTCCAGGCCCTGCCCGCCCCCCCAGGATGCCCCTCCCTCCTTCCCCGCCCCCCGACCGGGCCGGGACCCCAAACCAACTAACGCCCAGCCCCTCGGCCGGGGGGAGAGGGAAAGGACAGAATCTCGGAGGTCACAGGGAAGGGAGCTGGGGATTCCCAGGATACAGCTGGGGGCAGGACCTGCAATTTCAGCTGCCATCATCTCCAATCGCTTCTGAGGTCCCGGGAATTTGGGGAGCGCAGTACCTGGATAAAGGTGGGTCCCTCGCGTGTTCTGGCAAGAGGCAGCGCCTCGCCGTGGACAGAGCCCTGCGCTCGGAGGCCGGGACACCGCCGGTAGGAGAAGGATCCCGGGCTAGCCCCTCCTTGTCTCTGCGCCTCAGTTTCCTCTTCTGTCCAATGAGGCAGTAGGCTGGGCAGCCCTCGGTTCACCGTCTTTTAAGCCTGAGCTGTTCCAGCCTTTTGTCAGAGGTGCGAATTCAGACACTTCGCACCCCCCCCTTCGGCAAACAAACCAGACTTGACCTCTCTGGTGGTCTTCTCCCCGGCTCTCCGTTTCTTCCACCCCCACCCCTTCTCCACCGGCCCGGAGTTTGGAACCTCCCGGGTGCACGAGAAAAGTGTGTGGACTTGAAATAAGTTTTATTAAGCGGCTGCTGAACTGCAGATAGTTGGCGCTTTAACCTTACTTGAATAGAATGCAATTGAATTGCTAACTTACTAGAGTTCCATTCAATTAAACAAGAGTTTAAGAAGTGCAAAGTGTGGTGCTAAGGAGGCTAGACACAAAGACAATTTAAAACAAGCCCTACCCTCAAGGAGCTTACATTCTATTGGCTAGAAGAAGATATTCCTCAGTATCTCTAAAGCATCGCCCCTCCCCCCTCAGCGTCCCAAGAAAATACCCTTTGTTTGTACCCTCTGTTTGTCCTAGAGGCTTCCCCAGCTTATAAACACAAAGTCCAAACCAGAGCTGGTAGAGGCATTTAGAATTGGATTGTTAATACCTCGCGTCTGCATCCCTCAAAAGCGAGGTCAATGAAGGGGCATTGAAGTCCACTTAAAGGCTGGGAGGGAAATCAGAGATGGAGACTGTGTGGTGAAAAAAATATTGCATCTAGAATTAGAGGACAAGCTTTGGAATCCCTGCCCTATCATCTGTGTGACCGTGGACCATTCACTTTAACTCTCTGGGCCTCAGTTGTCCTATCTGCAAAATGAATGAGTCGGGCTAGATAACCACGAAGACTCTTTTCAGCTGTACGTCTTTGATTCCCTAGGTCATCTAGACCAACTCATTTATTGAGGTCAAAACCAAAGCCCAGAAAATGGCTTGTTCTAAGTCACACCGCCAATGAATGACATACCCAACAAGTAATTCTAGAATTACTGCCAGTGATACTGAACAAGTAATTTCCCCCTCTCTGGGATTCAGTTTTTTCTAATGTAAAATGAGAGGTTGGTGTAAATAATATCAGAAGTCCCTTTTACTTGTAAATCTGTGATTCAATCTCACACCTGTCTAGTCTGTCATCCACTCAGTGCCAAAACAAATCAACTAAAGGATGATCACATCCCTCTCTTGCTCAAGAATTTTCAGTGGCTGCCAGTTGCCTCTAGTCGGAATTAGAGACTCCAGTCTGGCATTTAAAGCCCTTGATGGTCCCTCTCCAGCCTACCTTTAGCAGCTTATTTCACCCCACTCCCTTTCACACATTCTGTGTTCCAACCTAACTGCCTCTTATTTTCTCAGGAACTTGGAGTTCTGTTTCCTGCCTCCATGTCTTTTTGAAGGCTATCCTCTCGCCCCCCCAAACCTGGAATATATTCCCTCTTCACCTCCACTTCTTAGAATCCTGGCTTTTCCTTCGAGTCTCAGTTCCATATGCCATGCAAATCCCCTGGGAATGCTTTATTAGTTGTGTTAGCTGTTAGGGTTTTCTCCCTGCTTAAGTTATCCTGAATATACTTCTCTGTTTATCAGAGCACTTACTGAATACTTATTGGATAGAATGGATGGTCCCATGGGCTCCAGCCTCTGCAGGCAGGTCTCTTTCTCCTAACCCTAATCCCCACCCCCCAAACACACACAGGTACCTAATAGAAATGACCTAACTCCTTCACACATTGTGTGGGGGATAGAATAGATGGAAAAGCAAATGTACAAGATACTATTTTTAGGCTGGACCACAGGGAAACAAACAGTTCTTGGAATGGGAGAATAGACACTGCTCTCCCCTTCCTCCCCAGATAAATCTTAGAATTTAGAGTTGAAAATTCTATTCTTCGGGAGCAGTTTGTGTGCCCCTGGCTAGGAATCTGGAGCTTTGAGTTCTAATCTCAGCTCAGCTACTGACTTCTTGGGAAGCCTGATTTCCTCCTTCAGCCTCACTTTCCTCCCTGGTGAAATGGGGATACTAATCCAGTTTCTGGTAGGCAACAGCTAGGAAACCGTCACCCACCAAGTCCTTTAGTAGGGAAGGGGGTGGGGAGGTTTCTTTGGATCTCCTCTGTCCCCAGTCTAAACACTGATCCTCCTGGCACACCATAGCTGCTCTCCTAGTCACACTGTAGGGGGTTTAACAGATTCTAATCAGCATTTGTGAGACCACCCCAGGGGTGTTAATTTAAGGATCGTTTGGGGAGATTTAGGTGAAACTCCGATTCTTCTCTTCAGCCTGCTTTTAGCACCTTGTAAAGACTATTGTTCTGTGGAGTCCTGGGAAATTTAGACCGGAAAAGTCTGAGTCCCTTAGATCATTAGAGGTCCAGTACCCTCCCCCTTCTCCACAAACTTTGCAGTTGAGGAAATTGAGGCTCAGAGAGTTCTCTTCCAACCCTTAAATTCTATGACAAGGAAGGTTTTCTATATATATATTTTTGCTATGTGGTCTTGGGCAAGTCATTTTAATGCTCTCTGTCTCAGTTTCCCCTTGGGTTAGTCACTTAAACTTATTAGGCCTCAGTTTCCTCATCCATAAAGTAAGAGGGCTGGCCTCTGCAATTTCTTCCAGCTTGAGATCTCTGATTCCATGATCTCCCAACACTTATAATACATGTCAGGGAAGCTTTTCTGTACTTTTGCTTGTGTGGCTCAAGGCAAGTCATTTTGGTTTAGTTTCCCCGTCAGTAAAATGAGGGGATTGCATTAACTATGTGACTTTGGGACAAATAATAAGAATAGATAGTGCTTATATAGTGCTTTAAGGTCTGCAGATATAAAGGTAGCTACTATTATTATCTCCATTTTACAGATGGGGAAACTGAGGTAGGCAGTGTTTAAGTGACTTGCCCAGAGTCATACAGCTAGTAAGTACCTGAGGGGGAAAGTTGAACTCAGATTTTTTTCCAGCTCTAGGTCCAGCACTCTATCTACCCTCTGCACCACCTAGCTGACTTCTTGCTGGATTGGGTATTGGGGCCTGGCCTTAAAGGGTGGCTCAGATTTCAACAGTTAGAGGTAGGGAAGGGAGAAAAGGTAAAAGCTGGGAAGACTCAGAACCTCTGGCTAATGGAGCCCTCATTTCTCCTGGAGGCTTTAGAGCTTAACAAGTTACATCCCTATCCTTCCTCTGTGAGGCCCAGTCCAAGCTTTACTGCCGTCCTGGGAATATCATGTTGTCCATTCAAAAGCTGGGGGGAAACCCAACCCACCCTGGAGCACCTGGGGTGGGAGGATCGTGAAGCAGAGCAAAGGGAGGAGGGGGAGGGGACGCTGCATCTGGGCTGGGCTGGGAGCTGAGAAAGGCAGTGGGATGCTAAGGAGAGGGGTTTCATGGCAGAATCCCAGGTTCTCCACCTGGTTTGAGATGTCGGATGTCCCTGCACTTCCCAGGGCAGCCATTTTAGAAGGCTTGAACTAGAAATGAAGCTCCTTTGGCAACTAGAGTCCTAGAATAGGAGAGGCCTTGAGAGATCATGAGAGCCTCGGTGCTTTATCCATCTTCAGGCATCAGTCATCTCAGAGTCAGGATGGGATGCTCCTCCAGTCTCCAAGACCAAATTAGTTATAATTCAGTCTCACTCATAGCATGAGCAGATAACCCTTTCAAGGGACAGAGGGGAAGAGAAAGGATCTCACAAACAACTCTGGGGTCTTGAGACCTTAAGAGAAGCTTGGGAACTTTTGTCTTATAGAAGCTGTTTCATAATCACCCGTCAGGCCTGGAGTACTGAGCCCCCTTGTGAGTGACCTTGGGCATGGCATCCAAGCTTGTTGAGCCTCAGTTTTCTCATCTGTATAGTGGGCTTAAA